TTTCAAACAATCGTGATTTGTGGTTTAGAAATACCAGTTACTTAGGCCCGTATCGTCATTCGTCCCTACAATTGTAGGGCGCCTTTATGGCCTCCTTGATTGTCATAGTTTTCTACTTGTCCGTGTCAGAACTCTATTTTCAGGTTATGTCACAAACATCTATTTGCACCAAATTGTGCTTGCTTTTGAGTTATATCATGTTTTATCAGCCTGAAAATTTCCTACAATTTAAAAAGGAAACATATCTTCACAATAGGAATTTTTAAAGGGACGACTGACGATACGGGCCTTAATCATAGTTCGCCAGTTCAAAATATCCGCCACCACTATTTAGCACAAAGTAAGAATTCAGAAAAAGACACTATCTGATTGTTACTAGAAGCATCTTATCGACTGGAACTCGGGATGCTCCCCACCAATTGATACACCCCACTGATCTGGCGTGCGGTTGCTTTGAACAGCTGGCAATTTAATCCAGCCGCCTCTGCACTTCATCGATCTTCATCTGATCTTTGATTCCGTGCTAAACGGCGCAAATTAGTCCCTTCCCTTCTCTATCACATCCTCCTTTTGCCATTTGCCCTCTGTTGGGGTTGCCGTAACATATCGCCTTACCATAGTCGAATCTATTTGTTTGATTTGGTTCGAACATTTAGATTGGTGATTGATTACTCAAATATTTCCATTTTGAGCAGAGAAAATGGCGCCAAGTAGGTTGGCTCAACTTTTTTTACACCAAAGAAGCCGCGCAAGCAGAATCATTTGTTTCTAAAATGAAAGCTATGACTATCAGAGACTGTTAAATACACTTATCCAAGCAAATTACTGATATGATATTACCTAGCTTTGCTCTGAACTGATCTGATCCACTTTGAATGAGCATTCGACACTATCAGAAATTCATTGTTGGAAAAAACCGCCGCCAGTTCCAATCCACAAGCAACGGCAACGCTGCTATCAGAATGGCGATGAGTAAGCCCGATACCACCGAAATACCCAGTCGCCGAATCGGCAGTAGAGCGGCAACGACTATATACATTTCTCGACGTAGGTATCAAAAATCACCCTGCTCGTGAGTCTTGCGGGCAAATATACGCAGAAATTTAAGTGTAAAATATGTCTAATAGGTATGTAGAATTACCGGGGCTAGAAGTATTTCCATCATCTACAACCCCCCACCGCCCAATTTGTTACCCCCTAACTCCACCGTCACTGGAATGATTTACAAAAACTACAAAGCTTTTTCATTCTTGGCATAGCATCAAAATCCGTGCAGAAGCAATAGCGGACAGACGGAGATACAGAAAGACCGACAGACAGACCGAGGGAAATGGGTGTCATGATTTACATATACCATCCAAAAAATATAATAACCCATTTTCAAAATCTTTCGCGATTACAGTACTTCCTCGCCTGTGATGTGGGAAGTAAAACGATAACGCACTCTAGACAAGGGAATATGAAGTCGGAATCAATTATCTGAAAATGTATCATCTTGCCCGTCTTTCATCCCTGATTGGCAGTTCCTTATAGGTCTAAGTCGTTAGATGGTTAAAAACGATGAACATGTTTTGTACCCATACAGGCATGATTACTGTTGATACATGAATATGTGTGACAAGTAATTTGAGTTTTTAGTTTTTACGTATTTTTCTGTTAAATATACAGGATGCATCATGAGCAAGACATGACGAGTATAGGGTGTTCCATAGGAAGTTTTATTTCGAAATAAAAGATGGACATGGTGGCAAATTCTTGAGGAATTTAACTGATGTATTTGATAAAACTTTCTATCAGTCCAGTGATATAGCTATCGGGAAGCTCGAAAAGTATTGATAGGAAGTTTTTTAATGTTATACCCGTATATGTATCTTGCTATACATGTGTTCGTGCCAGATCAAGTCCTCGGTGATCTGAACTCCGACCTGCATGTAGAGTGCTGTGATCAGCAAAGCTGTGGATTGGGTTGATCGTACAGGAAAGGAGATCGTTGATATGTCAGACGAACAGCGTCGGAGCCTAGACCGATCCCTGGGGAACACCTACGTTGACGTTGTGGGATGAAGAGGAGAACCCGTCAATTACGACGAATATCTTGCAGTCAGAGAGAAAGTCAGCCACCCATCTGCAACGCTTTTCTGGGAGGCCACAGGATGGAAATTTGCTTAAGCGGGCAGCGTGCCACAGCTCATCGGATGCTTTCATAATATCAAGAGCAACGATATGAGCCTCACAATAAGACAGACCACAATTGCGTGACGTAAGCAAGAAGGTCCCTGTGAATCGCTGGTGCCGGAAACCGTACTGCCTGTCGATATTCAAGCCGTGCATGACGTTCGAGGTAGTCCACAAGCTCGCGATTTATGCACCCCTCCATCACCTTACTTATAACATAACAGAAGCCAGAGCTATAGGCCTGTAGATGTAAGTGTTGGTCATAGATCCTTTTTTTATGGGTTCGATATGAGCAAATTTCCAGTTTTCTCAGAAGATGCCGGATTCGTAACATATCTGGAAGAGATGCAAAGGAACTGGAGCAAGCTCCGCTGCACACCTCTTCAATACCACGACAGAAATCAAGTCCGGACCAGAAGCTTTGTTGATATCGAGAGACAAGAGCACCCAATCACCCATCTTACGGTCTTATACTTGAATGTTCCTTCCCGCATAGTCTAGGGAACCCCTTAAATCGACCAAACTCGGGCGTTAGGGGAGACGTCCATGGTGGAGTTGACAGCAAAGAGAACAGAAGTTCCTTTCAATCTGCTTGGCCAGCGTCTAGAAACACCGACTGCCATTGCGCTGCGACATTACCCTGTGCCTAACTTTTATATCGTGCTGGTCCTAGGTATTACAACCGCTTCTTTATATTTGTTTCTAGACTTGACTTCGGCTTGTCAGTATGCCTCGCACGACTTGTTGAACCATCCGTTGGACCCTGGTTTAGGCACTTTCACTATATGAGGGATGTATTCTTCCATCCCAACGTGGATAATTTCGGTTATCGATGAACAGACAGCCAACGCATCTGCGTCAGCGGAACAAATATCTCTCAAAGGAAAGGTGGAGAAGAAGTCTCTGAGCCCCTCCCGAACGGCATATCCGTAATGCTAAATTTTGCGGCCTGGGCGAGTTTCTGTCGCCATAGCGGGGTTTGACCCAAACCTAACTTCCACAGCACCGTGGCCTCAGGTACCCAGGGGAGACAGGACAGCAGTGCTGTAATGGCAGCATGCGTGGTCAGAAAGAAATACAGCACCCTACTGGCATGTGACGAAACGCGGGGAAAAAAAAAGTAGGGTCGGTCACCAGCTGGGTCAGCCCTTGGGTACCAGTGAACGCTTCTTCTGCAGGACCTGCTGCATCGGTCTTGTTTGAGCCCAACCAAAGCACATAATGAGCATTAAAATTACCGAGGAGAACTACCTCTGAAGCGAGGTGATTGGTGTTCAGAAAGTCGATCTTGACAGCGATGTCATTCCAGTTATGATTCGCGGCAGAGCGATAAAGGCAGCAAATAAATTTGGAGGATGTTTTGGTGTTAAGGTGAAGCCACAGAGTGTCATTTCGGTCTGATTCTAAAGAAACGTCTCCGGAGCAGGAAAGACTGCTGGGGACAAAAGCGACAACTCCCCCATTCTTTATCAGATTGGAGTGCACCTCGTAGTTTGGGAAGCTAAGATGATTAACCGGTGCAGACTCTGAAATTTTTGTCTCCGCCAGGAAAAGCATGCCGGCACCATTGGATTGCAGGTAGTCAATGCCAAAATTAATTCCCCAGATGTTCGTGTAACTAATTTTATTATCGATGTTGTTCCCTCGAGTCCACCCTCCACCCGGACCCTCTGAGAGTGAGAGTTTATGTCCGGAATTCTTAGTATTCGAGGGATCCATCATTTGGGGAAGATAACCGGCTGCGTAGTTTAGGTCTGGAAACACGCGGACATTTATAAGACACCCTGGAAAAAGCTAGTGGGTGGTACTGCCTCGGTCAACTCGTGTCCTTGACTACCACCTTCTTTTTGCGAGTTAATGATGTTGAATAGGTCTAAAGTGACCCGTTGGCGGGCATTGTTTACTGAATACAACAATTTCCGGGACAAGCATTTGTCACGGCCCCGCTCAGTGCCATGATAGAACTAGGAATATATCGTCGGCCTCCGCACGTACCGGCGTAACTAACATTTTAGTAATTTTACAGGAGAGCTAGAAAACGAAAATCAGCAATAATGAGATTGAAAATGACATACTGATTTTTTAGTCTACACGTTGCTGTTTTTTTTGTTACTAAACGAACCAGTTTTAACGCAGAGGCGTAAACCTATTTAAGCCGGTCCGTGAAAATTATTTTCGGAATTTTATAACTTACGCAATTTTCTGAAAATTTTATTCCTTAGCAGCGAACCGATATACAGCTGCGTAATTTCGTGAAGTGAGAAGACTACAAAAAAATATGTGAAATTACGGCGTAACTCGATTTTAGATTATTTATCATTTACGCCTGTACGTGGGCAGACCGACCATATGTTAAAATATCTAAATGGCATACTGTGGAGTATTAATTCGGTCGTGCTGAATTCCGATTAATAGCCCATTTTTGAGGCAAGTTGCAACTTTTGTGCAACTTATTTTTCTGACATATTCTCAATGAAATTGGCCCGAAAATAATGTAATTCAGTATAAAAAATTAATTGTCCTGAGCTATTCAAAATTGGGAGTAGCTCAGGAATATTAAGCAATCTGCGCTCAAAAAGCAGGATTTTTTTGCATAGCATGTCCAATATTCCTGGGCTATTTCGAACCACATGTCCTTGCCTGTGCTAACCCACAGAATGGCACAGGAAAATTAAATTTTACTGACAAAAAGACACTAGCAGCGACTACGGAGGGCTCCAATATTACTGGGGTATTCCGAGTCGAAATTACGAACGTGTCCTGAGAGAAATCCTTATTGCACTAATGAAATTATGATAAAAATACTCAGAGTTTATTCTTTTCAGGTGAAAATCTGGTTCCAAAATCGACGCATGAAGTGGCGCAACTCCAAGGAGCGCGAACTCCTCGCTGCTGGCGGCTCTCGGGAACAAACCCTCCCCAATAAAAACAACCCCCATCCCGACCTCAGCGACGCAGACGGCGATCGACCAAAACTGAATCTGGTAGACACTACTGACACCATCTCTCCGCCACAATCACCAACTACGCCAAACGGAAACCATGGTAACGGACTCGCTGGAGGCGATGCGAAGGAATCGACAGCGAATACACCTGGTGGCATCTACCGATCGCAATTCGAAGCGACCATGGAGTACGACAGCGAAAACGATAGTGACGAAGAGATCAATGTCACTTGATTCGACGATAGACCAATAGAGAGCAGAGTGCTAAATTAATTATTTTTCAAAATATAGATGTACCTATAATAAAACAACACAAATCAATCTGATTTGCTCGATGAATTAAAGGAGGACCCACGTTCATACTGTAAAGATTATAAGCATATCTAAAAAAATATGGGCTTGTAGCTTACGAGAAGCGGTTAGAGCACCGCACTTAAAACTTTGGGGATGCGCAGGAGAGCAGAGAGCTACCCAAAAATATTTGGATTGCGGGAAACATAATTGTGTTTGTCCAATGAAGTTCAATCGCAAATTAGGTCCACACTGTCGCAAGTTATTGAGTTGGGCAAACTACGTCAAAATAGTTTAATATTCAATGCAACTTATGGTGAAGGCAAGTGTACCATTTCATCAGAGATACTTCAATAATGTTCCTGCCATAAACGGATAATCTATCCGCGGTAACTGTTTGGGTTATGTTGCATGTATATTTTAATCATATATTTGGCCTGTCATTTCTATGTTTGGTTTAAGGTACACGTCCACCAGTCCACATCGAACAAATCATTAAATGTAATATTTTTTGCCCGTCTAGCCAGGACGTTAGTAATTATTGATGTATAAAGTTAGGTAGAAATCTACCGACATTGGCGTAAATACTACCAGCTGGACCAAATCATCCCTTTTAGTGGTTCGATTCAATGGTTTCGATTTCGGTCTGGGAACCGGTTCGTTCACGGTTCCTTCTAACTCCAATATTTTCCGTTTAAGATTCCCGCAATTCGAAAACATACCAGTCCGATCGTCTCCATTCTTGAATTCTGAATTTGAACTCAATGGTTTTGATATTGCCGGGTTGCTTGTTCTAGACTATATGAAAGATATGCTTCTGTTCGGATTTAGGTATTGCCTTTGATTTTAAAGACTCGGAATGGAGAACTACTATCTGCAGTGCCTGTGGTCTGCGAGTACATTTTGCCCCGGTGGTTATAGGATTAAACAGGTTGGCAGCTTAACATGGATTGATTTGATTTTGGCCATCTTGTGTTATCCATACTTTGACGGTGACCACACCACAGTAATCTTTTTGTTTTAATCGTTTCTAAAATGGTTTGGTCTACTACCATAATTTCTCTAATTCTTTCGTTCCTAACATGTCCGGAAACTTCTTCTCCAGTAATCCATTTCCATAGACATCAACCTCTCTTTATTTCTTTTCGTCATCTCCCATATTTCTGAGCCATAGGTACAGATACTTTCTACTATAGCTTTGAATATCAATTTCTTTGTTTTGGATTCAAATACCACTGAAATTAAAAGCGTTACTGAGATGATCCGGAATCGAAACCACCGGAATCAGACTCGAAATAATCGGAATCAGAGCAATCTGAAAGCGATTCCCCGAATTCGTTCAGAAAGAAAGAATTCGAAGAGAAGCCACCAAGTCTCTTTGTTTACACTGCATTGTTTGTTTCCAACATTACGTAGTTTTAGTGCATACTTTTGACTCATTTTACTAGGATTGCCTACCAAATTGACAACGTTGTATAAACATGATAATACTTACCGGTGGAAATATCAACTTCGTTAGTATTGTACCTCTCTTTGCAAATTATGTCCTGAAATCGTCACCACGATTATCTGCCAACACTCGCACTTTTAAAAAATAACACTAAAAATAGGAATTTTATGGCCGAACTGCCAAAAAATAATTTCAAATCCAATTGTATAAGCACTTTCCATCCTGACTACAGATTGAGATATTGGAGACAAACAAATGGTAGGCTACTCCTTCTACCCAGTCAGAATTCGTTGTTTAGAACCAACTCCGCTATAGACTAATCACATTAGCAAATGTCCCCGAAATAATTGTAAAGTCTGGTTTTATTGTTGCAAGTTGTTCAAGGGGGTATTTAGAACATGGACGCATAAAATGGGTAGGTACTCGTATATATATATATATATAAACTTTTTATTTGACAACAAGGATTGTGAAAACGTGTTTTTAGGGTTTCAATCGAAAATGTCGACAGGAACGAAAAAACTTTTCATATAAGATTTTTAGGTATCTATGAGAGCTACAAAATAAGACCACACGTAAAAAGATCCGACTAATAGCAAAAGTGCCGAGAAACAATGCAAAATGCAGGTTTTGGCACTTGTTGGTAATGCGACGTCAATTTCAAGCAAATACTCGAAATTTTTCAAATCCGTAGGACTCATGCTTCTAAATAACAACAACAAAATTGTATTATTTTGGTCAAGTAGTTTCTTGAGAATCTATAATTGTTTATCCCAAAAGACGGGTTTTCTGGCCATCACTACTAGTTTATTGAGCAATATACAGCGTTCGTCCAAAGAGCATTTAATAGCAAAATACACGTGTTCACCTTGCCGACATGAACCACAAACCATTCCGAAAGATAAATAATGTTATTTTAATGCGAAAAACAAAGGTTACGTTTTTCTTCTTCTAAACAAATCCAAACATTTCGCATTTGTGAGTAATTGAACAAATGCGCTACGATATTCGATAAACATACGTTACTATACACATTTTAAAACAAAGCGGATGTGCCTATCATCTTTTGTTGCGACTTACTCACAAATACTACATTTTTGAATTTGTATAGAAGAAAAAACGTAACCCATCCTTTTTTGCATAAAAATAACATTTATCTTCCAAGTGGTCTGCGATTCATATGGGCAAGGTAAACTAGTGTATTTTGCTATAAAATTCGCTTTGAACTAGCCCTGTATATTGTTCAATAAGCTAGTAGTGGTGTCCAGAAAACAGGTGTTTTGGGATAAGCAATTAGAAATTTTGGTTATTTACAAGTAAGAATCCTAAAAATTTGAAGAATTTCAAATATCTGCGAGAAACCATCGTCGCATTAACGACAAGTGCCAACACCTGCAGTTAGCCTAGGCTTTTGGCCATAACCTTTTTGCTATTAGTCTGATCTTTTTACGTGTGGTCTCATCTTGTAGGTCTTATACCTAAAAATCTTATATAAGAGATGTTTTTTCGTTCCTGCCAACACTTTCGATTGAATTCCAAAAAACACGTTTTCTCATTCTTTGTTGTCGAATAAAAAGTTTTCACACAAAAATTGGTGTAGCCATTTTATGCGTCCATATTTTGAATACCCCCTTGAACAACTGGTAGCAATAAAACCAGGCTATATAATTATTTCGCAAACCAGAGGTAGTTTCGTCTAATATGATTAGACTACTATACGAAATACTAATCGTGCTTCATTCGCATCAAGTACGCATTATATCATCGCCAAACTAAAATAAGTAGGAGTTTTCTATTGAGCACCTATTTCTATGTGAACCGACAAGATCATACGGATTACTGATCTGACGCATTATGTATATTGGATGTATGTTAGTTGTGCAGGCCATAGAATAAAATCCGAGTACTACTGAACGTCCAGTGGCAAATGGTCACCAAGCCAGTCATTTCTGGAGATACAGCAGGCAAACTACCATAAACAGATACGCCCGAACAGTCCGATATGTGCGATAGGGACATATGGACATGTCCCTTAAGTTTCACATCTCACATCACTATCAGTATAATATACATAATTGAACTTAACGAGATCAACAACATTATGTCTAAGCGCCCAAAGAAAAACCAAAAGCAGTGCTTGACATATTCGTCATCGTTAGACGAGTTTTGTTAAACAGCTAGGCAGATTTATAAAGAAACCTAAGCTTTCTGTTATATTTGTGGATGCTATGAGGTATACTATTGGTCATTGAATCAATAAACATCACATTTTCAATGTAATTATATGAAATCTCTAACACAATGTATACTATTAACTTATAACAATTATTTTCTTCTTTATTGTATTCTATAAGACCACGAATGCTTTAGTCACAGATCATAATACCAATTTTACGACGATAATCTTTTGTGGCTATTTCATATGTAAACATTTCTTATCTACTTATCTTTCAAGATAATTGCCGAGTTACGAATGGTCATTTCTCGTGGAATTATTTCACAAGTCACACCATGTGTAGCTTTCTTAATTATAACTTCTATCGCTCATATTTGACTTACGAATGTATACATAAACGCCCATTCTGTGATTGTCTTGAAAGTGGGATAAAGTTGCGAAAAACATCTTGTACATAATAAAATAATCATGCTCTGCTTTCGTTCGTCCAACCAACCGTTCTTTTTGGCGACTCCTCAGCCTGTTCTAGGATTGGGTCTCTCGGACAACGAACGAAGACTTAGCAGCTATACGCTATTCAATGTGTGTGATCTATTGAAATAAGACGCGAAGCGTCATCTACCCCTAGGATTGAGCACTGCGAAGCAGAGCATGTTTATTTGATTTTGTTCAATGGTAAGTAGACCACATCTACTACACAGCTAGAATCGCCGCCATCTAGCGATCACGTGGTGACTGAGCCTCCAGTTTTGCGGACTGTTTCGCAGTGGTCGATTCTAGGGGTGGATGGCGCTTCGCGCTGTCTTACTTCGACCTTTGATATATTATTGTATTATACTATATTTGTGTGTAGGTTACGTGAACATGCACAATCATTCAGAAAACTCGTTTACAAATATAGAATCTATATTAAAATTTTACGTAATACTAAATATCGAATTGTAAATATCCCATTTCCAAAGACTATGTATGTATGAATGAATAAAATTTAATAAACCACACAGATTTTTATTGACTTACGATTACTTTGCAAAATCATTGAGAAAAAGGGACGACGTACAAAAATCTATCAAAAACCGTACTCACCCTTGATCAAACTATGAACATAGTAAAGTTGCGGAAATTGACATTTACTTTATACCAATCAGATCAATAATTTTGTCGTTGTTTTAAGTGCAAATGTTTGAATTTAATTAATGGAATCCATCAATAATGTCTGTGTTGGTCAGTGTCGACATAGACATAAATTGCGAAAACTTGCAATGAATGAGTTGCAAAACAGAACTAAGTGACAACTATTATAAATTCAATTAGAAACTAATATATAAAGAGTTTTTATGTAAACATCAGCCTTGGAAAATTGCTTTCACAACTGTTGATACCCATGCTTTTATCTTTTCATAAGGACGTTAACTTTACATTAATACATGGTGAGTAGAGCTTCAAGTGATGAATTAATTTACTACCACATCGATATACATGAATAGGAACTTATTTTTATCCGATGTTTTTCAGTTGGAACTCTTTATTCTGAGGAAGCAAGCTGAAGTAAGTGATTTTATTAGATAACGAATATTGATGTCATAAGCTGTGCATCTTTTATTTGGACTTGCTTGTTGTAGTAGTAGGGTATGGTGCTATCAGCAAGATTTATTATTTTCTTTCTTTTTTCAGGGATAGTCATTTTTGAGTAATGTTGGAAAATAGTTTTTTTTTATATTAAGCTGCATCAGCCGTCTGGCTATTAGCAGCGGTATTGGTCTCATATTACAGTTGATGAAGCATGTTACAGTTATGTAAGAAACCGATTGGATTTTGGATGTTACAGTTTGTTCCAAGGATATGTTTTAGATTTTTCCCACTTAAATTAGATTGTTGTCTTTGATGCTCGTAGACTTGGCACTCCACTAGTATATGTTTCACTGTTAACCTGGTTTTACACAAAGCACACACTGGTTCAGGTTGCTGGGTGATGAGGTGACTATGGGTTATCCAGGTGTGGCCTAAGCGAAGTCGTGTTACGGCTGTTTGTATGCTTCTGTCTTCTCTGACTGTCTGCCATTCTCCTAATTTTGATTTCAGCTCACGCAGCTTAGAAGGCTTTGTTTCCCACACACTATTCCATTGGTCTGTCATGTCTTGTTTTATATATTGTTTTAGGTCTGATGCTGGTATTTGTAGATTACTTGTACGGTTACTCATTGCTGTTGCTGCTGTCTCGTTTCCTGCTATGCCTATGTGTGATGGAGCCCATATAAATATTATACGTTGATTATTGCTGATAAGATTGGATATGGTTTCTTGTATTATTATGGCTAAAGGGTTTTTGGTATATACTTTGCTGATAGCAGATAGTGAGCTGAGCGAATCTGTTACTATTATCCATTTCTGGGCAGGATTACTTTTGATGTGTTTCAGGGCTCCTAGGATTGCATGCAGTTCTCCTGTTAAAATTGTAGCAGCACCTGGAACCTTCAGGGTATTGGTACTGGTTGGTGTGACAATGGCTGCTCTGGAGAATAGTTTTAAAACGCTCAGAATTTGAATATTGGTGTGAAGGAAGTATCTACTCCTATTGATGCAACCGTTGAACCTAATTGAATCAGAAAATAAAAGTAATTAATGCTCCTTATATTGTATGACAAATTGTATGCATAGTTTCCCACTATTAAAGCAAATCAATCAGCACAGAAATGTCAAGATTATTTTATTGCTAAGAGTTAATGGACAGAGCGGCGAATGTAGGGAAGAACAAGAACCCCGATTTTTTTTTTTAGTATGGTTTAATAATAATAATTTCTCTTTATTTACAATGATTATATTTCTCCCATTTCTTGAACGGGTCAAGTTAAAAACCCGAAATTCGGGATGATGAAATTGAATACTAGGTTTGTGCGCAAAAATGACAATTTGAAGATGGCGACTGGGCACCCTAAAGTATGAATTTACTATACTTCATCAACTAATCATGATAAAGTTATAGAGTTATATTGTCTCGGAAGGGTGTGTCTGAATGTGCAAAAAAGAGGGAGTTGACAGATTGTGACATTTTTTAACATCGAAAGTTTCATACTTTAATATGTACATATTCGTATATATCCTTTGAGAAAAGAGAATTGACATAGCATAGTGTTTTGATGATTGGTTTATGGATTACGAGCGATTCATTAATTAATGTACAAAAATGCTCAACTTGCCAATCCATCATTTTAAAAGATACTGGTTTTGTATTCTGAGAAACACAGCACTCGCTACGAGCATGAAAATCACAAGACGCCCTATTCCAATATTCGAAGATAGAATCCACCGCCATCTTGAAGTCGTCAACTATCACGTTTACGGTAAAATATAATATCCATGCATCAGTTTCATCACCCCAAAATTCTTGCTATCTTGAACCTTCAAAAGATAAGTGCGGGGATCTTTTTGAAAAGTACTGTATAGTCAATAGTGGGAAACTGCCTGTAATCTCTATATATATACATATAAATGTGAATATCTGTCCAGTCTGTCAGTTTCACGTCTGAACCATAGCACGGAAATATTGTACACTTACTAATTTATACCCCAGGAAGGTTATTGGCCTGGTTTTATACGGAAAATATACAGAATGCTCAAAAAGTATGGATAGATCAAAATATCACTAAAAGTACGATTCCTAGAGAAAAATGTTATTGAACAAAGGTGTAATATTTAAAAAGGTTCATCTAAGGATGATCTTGAACGTGACCTTGACTATAACTTTCAAGTTCATCCGAAGATCGCAGTTTTCTTAAATAAAACCAAACCCCTATTTTTGACATCGGAAATCAAAGAGCAAGAAACGTTATGTTCAAGTAAGCCCATGACCTTGACTATGACCATCAAGGTCATTTAAAGACCGAATCAATGTTTAATTGAATACATCTATTTTTAATTCCTGAAATGCAAATTTCCGACAATTGTTTGTTCAAGTCTATCATTGTCAAATAAATTGACTACTTGACCATGAACTTCAAGGTCATTTTAAGTTAAGATGAATTTTCAAGTAAACTCCTTACTTTTTGCCGAAGATTTTAAAAACCGAAACAATGAAATTAATCAATTGATTGTTGTCTTAAAAATGTTGAATAGAATGTCTTCATTGCCAAAGTAACTATCGCATTACTTCACACTACTGAAAAAGTCTAGATGTAAATATATTTGCGACGTGTTCCTAGAAACCTAAAGCAGATTGATTTTGAACCAATATTAAAGACGTCCAGCAGCCATTAAGTGTCCAAGCAGGTGCATATGTTAAGATAAGGATGTTGCCCAGTATGGCTAACAACTACTATAGATTATGTTCAGTCTTCACTTTGTAATAGGGTACTGGCAGCACAACTTACAAGCACTGTAACTCAAAAACTAGCCGTGGAAAAACAGTGTGTTGATAACAGGGAGGAGGAGGGTTTGCGATATAATGAACCGTTCCGGGGTTTTGGAGTTGAAGAGTCATATTATTTTGGTGCAGTCTTATAAATCATGGAACCGTTTCCAGATACTGGTTGCCCGTTTTGAAAATTTGGTAATTCTCATCAGACCCGTCATCAGCGACCTGAAAAGCCACGGACATTTCTTCTTAAAAATCGGTTGATATTATCGAAATAAATTTCTTGAGACAACCGCAGGCAGCATTACACTGATGAAACAATTATGTCTAGTCCGTCTCTGGTAAACTAAATAAGTTAACAGTTTTCGTTGGATTATATTCTCGCCTAAGTTCTAGCACAGCGTAACTCAAAACTGACAGATTTTTAAAAGAGCAAAACAACGGTGAACCTTCTCCTCCTCTCCTCCTTCAGGGGCCTGTTCAAATACAATAGCTTCTAAATAATCCCAAGACCAATTGAATTCTTGCCCTATGTTTGGGATACACTCTGTACATGAATAAACTAAGACAAAAGGATCATGCTAAGTTCTAATTAAAAGGCGTCACAAATATGAAGTAGTATATAATTTAAAATGTATGTTCAACTCTTACGGTTAGATAACTATGGTACTTACTACTTACTATCTCCTTTAAATCAAATGAAACCCTTTTCGTCTAATTTTGTCCGTCAAAAAGTATTTTTATCAAATTCTCACATCGTTAAAGGCGCGCGAAAAGGTTATTTTCTCTTATTCCTGTCCGAATGTCTCAATTTTAAATGAACTACCTTAATAATCGAACTCATGAGGCTCTAACGGACATGCAGTGCTACCAAGCCGAAAAATGCAAAATCGCTATTTATATTTGTGTCAGGCTGAACGTATAGGCAACCCTCTTATTTCCACGCTATCATCGATGCGCTTACAAATTGAACAGGGTTGCCAGATATGATGATTTTTCGACAAATCTGGTAATTTTTTGACAAATCTCGTGATTTTTTACCCGTTTGTATCCATCACATATTTGAAAAAAGTCTCTATTTTATTAAATTTATCAAAGAAATTAGAAAGTCATAAATATTAGTAGTCAAAATAGATTCAAAAGTGGAATGGTGAATTTTCTTCAAATTTTCAGATGACGTTTAAGTGCTTTTCAAGTTATGTATATATTTTTACATAAATTTGTTTCGTTTGGACAATGAAATTATATACGAAAATATCAAGTTGCACTCAAGCGTCATAATCTGCAAAAATATGTGATATAACAGTTATAACTCGCGATTTCTATACATTGTGACAGCAACTCAGATTCCAACCTCTGTGGCAGTTAAGGCTTATTTTTTCTCATCCTTCAGCTCTCAGGGCGGCCGATCTTCAATTCGCCCACCTGTTTATACGGTTGTTTCAGAAAGGGTTAACAAATTTGTACAGAGGGTCAATACTTTTGATCACCAGTGTAAACACGGCCAGCGTCGTATCGTTCGCCCCTCTACGGCAATGTTTGCCTCTTACAGAATAAGGGAAAGTCCGAGCAAAGTCGAAGTATTGAAAAATACCTGATGGTCGCAACAGTTGTGTTACCTGCGACCCGTTTAATTAGTGTTAAATGTGCAGTAGGCTGGGCAAATGCACGAAAAAATATCAGTGAAATGGATGAATAGGTCCAAAGAGCTAGAAAAAAATCATTGAAATTGAAAGTGAAATCGTCAAGGTAGCGCGTGCCCGTGAATATGTACTAGTAACCGTAGTGAGTTGAACAAACGTTGGAAGATGAAAGTGACAGTGTTTATCGTCGTAATACTTTGCTGTATATTAGGTAATATGATTATATGCATTATGGCTGTGGGACGTTAGTCACAAAGTGGTCAGTTAATTTAGAAAACTGAACAGAATCAGGTACCGTTTGAAAATTTGGTAATAAAAGTAGAAACATGTACTAGCTTACTTTAAATAACTGACACAGATGGGCTTGTCGCTTGAAGACTTCCTGCTATATATCCAAGTTATGACAATCATTAGGAGGGAATATTTTTAATTTAATTTAATATAAATAGTAGTATATAATATAGATCATATTATATAAGTTAATCATTGTCCCTCACTATGTTCAGCTGAGTTATTATTAATTTGACGTCTTGTCGAAAAACTACATAGGTATGTTCGTAAAAAAAACTGCATAATGGCAAAAAACCTACATAATGTTACTTTTCAAGTTACGTAATACCCCCCTACCAATCATTTGCGACGTTCATGTATAATAACGATAATAAGATACTCAATCTTACATGTTGTTGAATCAGTCATGGAACTACTTAAGTTAAAGTCAAATTAATAAAAATTAAGAAAGTGAAAGAATCAATTTGACTCCTGCATAAATTCAATTTCTTGCACATTTTCTACGAGAGGATTGCGCATATTTAAGGTGAATCGGTTTATACATCATAATTGACTAGCGTTTCAAAAAATGTAGCAGCGGAATTATATTTTTGAGATAAATTATCTAGATATACAAAAAAGTTTTCTTGTCAACTCATTTATTGGAAATAATATAGCATGTGTTTAAAAAAAATATATATCACATAAATGTGATATACAGGTTTTCTTCAGTCAAGTTAATTTTTTTACCAAAAAGAAGTAAAAGTAGGTCTGAAATAATAGAGAACGTCAATGATCAACACTCGAAAGAATACGCAACGGTATGGACAAATTTCTAGTTATTCTGAGAAACATGATCCATTTGGAGACCTGCAACATATGAGATCCAGCAATTTTCTTGTCTCTAGATGAAATACTTTTTTATTCGATTATATAATTCCGTCAGCAGGATATTTTTTCTATAATAGGGTCCATTTTTGGATAGCTGGCTTGGTCTGTTAGATTATTTTGGCTCTTTGACCTGCAAATGCTCAATGATTCTACATATTGGATAAAATTGCATTGCTCTTTAATAGACTATAACAAGAATATAATTGATAATAATATACATTTACAAAATAAATCACTACACTATTATTACACATGTACAGTTTGATCTACTTAACGCATTTATGGATACATGGAATATTTTTTCAGAAACAAAAAAAAACATATACTTTGGATTCAAACCACATGCCTTTATACACATTGTTGGTAGTCAGATTTGTAAGGGAATAACAATTGCAATGCCTGTATGATCTCTTTATCTTTGTGTTTTAACAATATAGTATTTATCCATTAGCAGCTAGTTTACCTTGAAAGTAGATAATAATAGACTTGATGTGAAAGAATAAGAACAACACAACAAGAAGTGAACATAATCCGTTACGGATATTGATTTCGTTTATGTAAGGTATTATTCAGCCAGAGGCTAGGCGCTCTTTAATAGCTTCACCTGACAGAATGTTGAACCATCATCGTTGCAATTGCGTAAACTGAAATAATGTTATGACCCACGATTGTTTAAGTTTTTATTAAATACATGTAAAGCTGCAATACGCCATAGTTAAAGCAAAGAGTTTAAGCTTTATGTTCTGTACTATGTGAAGCTACGTGATATTCATGTATATTTATTCGAACAAGGTGTTTTGTTATATTGAATTTTCATTAGAAACTAGGTACTTCTTCTTGTACTAGGTACTATCAGAGACTTTAATTGCCATTTTACGTTGAAGATCTGTCACCAGATGGCAGCTCGGTAATTAATGTTGGTTCTGATGAGGTTGTAACCAAATTCTTCGACAACTATCTTAAAAACAGCAATCAATGTGTTTCGTTGAAGGGTATAACATCTGATGTCACCCGCATACCTCAGGGTTCCATTCTTGGACTTCTTGTTCTTAATTTATACCTTTGACTTATCAGTTCACAATTCAGATATTAAATCATTCTCTGATGACACCCAGCTCTCCCACTGTTTCACTATAGATGACATACAGGGCACTCTTCCAGCAGTACAAGAACATATTGATAATCTATACAAATATTCTAAAGATCACAACTTAAGAGTAAACCAGGAAAAATCTAAGATTTTATTGTTTTTGATCTGAGAGCAGGAGAAACGATGTTGTTTCGCGCTTGACTGTGAACATCGGCAATAAGCAGTGCTAAAATATTGGGTGTAGAACCTGATATCAAACTGAGATTCGCTGAGCATGTGATAAATCCCTTTATTCAAACAAATATCTGCTAAGCTTCAAAATGAGGAAACAACTTTGTGAAACCGTTTTTGTGTCTGTCTATATTTCCCATGTTTGGACCAGGTCACTAAACATATAATCCAATTGATTCAAGACAGCTGAGTTCATTTATATTCGGCATGAGAAAGTTTGACCATGTATCCCATAAATATGCAGAGTTGAGTTGGCTAAAGTTTGACCATTTGGTCAAATTACAGTTTTCGACATACGTGTATATCCATAAAATGTTAACTAATTCTAAGCCAGAGTACCTAGGTTAAAAAAATTATGTTTATAACACCACATACGATAGAACTATTAGGGACAGACACGTTATCATAATTCCGAGGAGACAAAATCTGTGTTCCGACGAAGTTTCTCATATAACGTTGCAGAAATAGGTATAGGAAATGAACGGTCGATTTAACCCATGAGCTTACCACGTTTCCGCTATAATGTTATGTTGAGTTTCTTAAACTTTTCGCTTTTTCCTCAACATTTTATACAGATCTGTTTATAGTAGCAGTATGTGTACATAAAACTTTTCCTTTTTCACTCATATGGACTATATCATTTAATAAAGACGTTTATTATTAGTATTATTATTCAGGAAAAGTTTACGTGTTAGAATAAACAAAACAATACCGATATACAGCCGCAAAAAATAGATGACAGATCTGGAATATAATGGATGACTAGAAAAAGTTGCATTTGGTGATAAGTTTATATAGGTTACCATAGGTTTGCAAAGATAAATTTTCAATTCCAGGTACAAAGGCCTTCATTGTCCCAGATGAACTGCCATCACTTCTGTCGGTAGTCTATTCTAATATTCCTACCATCAAAAAAGGTAAGCTTAAAAATCGACAACTGTTCGATATTGGGACTACACTTTTGAGACCGTTTGATAAAGAACTCGGCAGCCATTGTTTAATCGCTGAAATATTTATTCGCAAAGCAGCAACAAGAATTTGCCAAATGTTGGAATAGAGGAAAGGAACCAAATTTGAGATACTTTTTTTGAAAAGGAAAAATAAAGTACTTACTTGTTGTTTTAAACGAGCGTATATTTTTAAATAAACTTGTTATTCGATGCTCCTAGCATACTCTAAAATAAAAAAATAATATTAAATGTATTTCTTTACAGACAAAAAGTATATTTTAAAAAAATCTAATATTTTTGTGAATTTTCAGCTGGTTTCCTAATTTGAGATACTATTCAAAAAATTCCTTTCTTTTGCAGAAAGTGCAAATGAAAATTTTATTGGTGATCTCTTCACAATTCTCTATGTGCCCATCTACTACAATGGCTGTATTTTGCCCATTTTCACCTTTCTTATCTTCGGAAAATCGACCGGTACACATTAAACATTCAGCATCGCTTTCATATTGCTTTCATCTGAAGATGAATCATCCAACTTAAGGCTTGCGCTGCATTCTGAACTTGAACTGGAGGGGGCAGGTATCTATCCGAATCCTTTTGAGACTTTTAAATAATCCATCTCCTTACTCGTGTGTTTCCAGGCATCTGCATCTTGATACAGAGATAGTCTCAAATTAGGAAAACTTGGGTATGGGGCCGTTCAACTATTACGTAAGCAGATTTATTACAATTATTCACCCCCCCCATCCCCCTTGTCAGCAAAAGTAAGCAAAGCTCTTACCCCCCCCCCCATGCTTACGTAAACATTTGTCAATTAATGTATTGTTTTTTTTTTAATATTATAATTATAACGTTATAATTATAATTTGAAAAATAAGAAAATAGATTTTTTAGGATAGAGATTATATTTTACTGATACGGTATTCAACACAGAGTAAAGGACAAAAATATTATATCTTACTAACATAACAAACTTATTTTAAATTTTTGGTACATATATTAAATTCAAATTCACAGTCTTCAGTCCATGAAACCCGAATCCGTTTTCGATGACATTGGATTGCTTCGATTGGTGCTCTGTGTTGTGAGTTTGCTCGCTTTCATCGGATTTTGGAATGTCTACGTCGTTCTCATCGAGCCATTCAACATCATGGTGCTCTAAATTTTGAATAATGCACATCAGTTCATTAGCACGACGAGCAGCGACTCTTACAGGTCTAACTTTCGTGCGTGTTTACTTTTTTATGGATATTTTCGATGTGACGATTTAGTGACTTGACGGAAGCATGATAAAGACCACACGTTTTGCATGTTCGACTTGATAGCCTCAATTTTACCGTCGGACAAAAGTAATCGTATAGCATTTGCAGGAAATCTTTGAGTGAAGCACTTAAGCGTAGAGCTAAATTGACTGAAGATTAAGAAATTTCCCTCCTTCATCCAAAACCAAGTCATCAACTGTTTGTTTTACTTTTACAGGTGGTGGAAGAAACCTATTGTTTAGTAATCTAAATAGGCCACTTCTTGGACGACAGCATTCTGTATTTCTACATTTTACAATTTGAAGCAAGTATTGGCTCTCACGGACATGTTCTGAATACCATTTAATGTCTGGAAAATCAGGAAGATCTTGTTCACTTGCCCCAACATATTTTGCATTAACATTATAGCCATCAATTTCAATTGAACTCCATACTTCAGCTAATACATTTCCTGCAAATTCGAAATTAGATCTTTCTAAATGTTCAACTGTAATGCCACCTTCATCCAAATGAGACCCAAAATGGTCATGAGGCAATATTAAACCAGCCAGTTTCCGACTAAGAGGAGCCATTCTACGCTCTACTCTGTTATACGCACTTCTTCCAGGAACATTGGTAGCTAAAAACAATGCATCGAGATCATGTCGCTTAAAGTGTTGAATAGCAAACCCTATGACTTTTTGATAACGTGGATTTTCATCTGGCCCTCTAGCAACCGTCATGATTACCACTGGTTTTACTAGTCCATGGTCAGTTTTAGCTAATGGTCGAAACTCTTCAAGTTCGAGAAGCGTCTCGAAATCCTGAGCATGACTATTAGCAGTAGATGAACTATGCTTTCCATTTCGAATAGCGATGTATGTCGGTCCAGAATATCCAACGGCTTGCGGTTGTCCTAGCATATTGGAAGTGATTTTGATACCAACATAAACAGATGGTATTAATTTATGACGCTCAGCGATTACCCAATCGTGATTAGGCAATTTGATTCTATATTCCATGTGCATTAGAAGAGGTGCTTGCTTATTTCCGCAGTTACGCCAATAGAGACTCGAGCTTTATCATCTTGAGATATGAAAAATACTTGATCTGGTCCAAGTATGGATGCTATGTCCTCTAAATGATGGATTGATGTTTCAGCGAACTTGCTATCTAAGTGGCTCTTGTGATGATCAGTTTGAGCCCAAATGAGCTTAACAGGGACTGTCGATACATGTCTTCGTCCCTCTGCAGAATTATGTTTTCTGGGAATCAAACGAAGATATGTCCCACTGCGACTGTCAAATCCTATTTTACGTAATTCTTGTGTGAGTTCATCAAGAGTTTTTACGCTGCGAATTGATTCCGTTCGTCTTCTATCATCTGCTGCACTCCCAAATAAAGCTATATCCGCGATTGTTTTCAATAGTGAATGTTGATTGCTTTCAAGATTAGGACATCCCACTGAATCCCTCAGAGATAGTCTTTTTTATTTATGGGTTTTCATGACAAATATCTTCTAACTTTCTTTTCATACCATCCCTGTGTTTCTTCTGGGCAACTGCGTTTTGGACCTTCCTGTTTTGCTGTTTTTATTTCCTCGCGCAACTTAATGATCTGTTTATCAACTTCAGCACGGCTTGGCATAGTATCTCTGGCAGAATACAAAGCATTCAGATTTTTTTCGAGTAGAGCAATCTTATTTTTCATAGCTTCCTGAGAAGGTTTTGCTCTCTGTTTATCTGTATTTTCATTAATTTCGCATTGCTGTTGTGATTCATTACCGGGTTTTATTTTATCTTCTTCCTCTTTTTTAGTAGTTGAAGCTGACTGTATAATTTGTGTTTTATCTGCAGGTTTACAGGTTGCCTAAAAATAAAAACTTTCTATGGCTTCTGCTAAAGATTCTCTTATTACAGCTTATTAAGCTACATAAATACAAAGTATGGCAATATATATGGTAAACAAAACCCTATGGCTTTAAATCTAATATGTTTAAACGAGCAATTCGTTCCGTTCACAAAATACAGGGTGTTAGTTTTCTGTATATATGTATAAAACTAACATCCTGTACTTTGTGACCAATTGACTGAATCAATCATAAGAAATAAATCTATAATATAATGAATATTACCTCTATACATTGAGATAGGCCATAATATTTTCTAATCAGTAAAGAGAAACTTTTTGGCGATTTCTAATATTTCTAGTACACATAAGTACCTAAAATGATTTCGTCACTTACCTTAGAAAAAAAGTTTAGTAGATCAGATTTATTCTTACTCGCCGCTTGCAAATCTTCTTCGATTCTCTTAGATACAATAATATCTAGTTCCTTGTCGGATTTTGCTTGTAATTTGTAATTTCGCCACACTTCGTTAACTAACTTTTGTACATTTTGTACTTTCGTACTTGTATGAGATTTTTTAAAACTTTCAAACAATTTTTGGTATAACTTGGATTTGTCTATGTGAAACGACATCTTATTTAAACATTAAACTTCCATTCGTGTAAAAAAGTAAATAACTACCGATGACGTAATCATCATCTAGACTCCCCTACCCCTCATGTCATCCCAAATAAGCAAAGCAAAAGTTTACACAAGCATATTTAGGTTATATACCTAATAAAATCACAATATTGTAAAAGAAAATAAATAAGGTATTTGTAAACTACTAAATTTATATCAGACAAATGTTCTAAATAACTTACCTTAATTTTAGTAATCACTTTTCTCGCATTATTAAAAATATTTTTAACTCTCAAGAAGTAACAAGTTTTGATGTCACAACAAACCATATGCAAAACTAAACTGTAAGCACACGTAGGATACTACTGCGCCTTAGTTTACAACTTTTTGGTATTACTAGAAGATGGTGCTACAAAGATACAAAGTTACACCAGTGTCTCAAATCAGGCGCTTAACTCAATTTTGTTTCCTTTCCTCTACCTTTAGTTGCATTTACTTTTGTGTACACTGTATTTTTTAATGGAATGTTAATATATGCTGGGCCTCAAGTGAATAACTTTTTTATTGTCTATCAATAAAATATGTTTGTGAACATTTTTCTTCGCGCCCTGTTAGTACGTATATTCTGGATTATATTTTGCAATCAACTTTCTAGCCATATAAGTCTTAGCTAATGAATAGTCTGGTACTGAAACGGGAGAGGGCAGAATGCTACTGTTAACGCGGCGTATGTTTGAATACGGCGGTAGTGTATGATGTGTTTTAAGAATACAAGAAGGCGGCTATAAAAAATACTCTACAAATTTTCTTTCATTTTACAGCCATCTTAATTGTCTGCTTACTTTATAACCGTTCCAAACGATTCATTAGGTGTCCTGCTTTCCAGGTACCGACTCTAGATTAGGATGGGGTTTTCGATTAGGTGACAGAGCTGATTTCCAGGTAATGGTAGAACTAGGTCCACAAACCAATACTCAACCATTGGCCAATCAAGGAGGTGATGGGAATACAAACAAAAGAAACGCGCTCAACAATCTGGCCAATCGGCTGTACGCTCAGAGGCAACATGAAAAGAAAATGAAGGAGAAGAAGAAGATTGAGGAGGAAAGAAAGAAAACAGAAAAAACAGAGGATAAGGTATATTCAGTGATTTGATTGAAAGTTTTGTAAGAAAATTATAAAAGTGTGAGGTATAAAAAGCAGCCTTGGTACAAGTGCTCAATCCTTAAAGCGTCTGTGGTAATAAATGTGCACAACACACTTTACAATGTTCAAGTTACCTTTTAGTTAACATCTTCGTAAAATTTATGCAGAATTGTTCTGGAATTAAATGTAGTTAGCGGTAGAATGCTGACAGACAACTCTTACTTAACGATTTTCCTATCAAAGTTATATTTGAACCATGGGTTTATGAGTGTAGATAAATTGTTATGATATCTATGGTTCTTCTCTCCGTTTTTAGCGGTTACGCTATGAGTGACATACGACATAAATACAGATCACTAAGTGATGGGTGTAGCTTCTTTTTCCTAAGCGAAAATGCACACTGAGCAAACCAATCAAGTGAAACCGCTTTTCTCGGATCTTGTCCGCCAAAAAGTATTTTGGTCAAATTTGCTCACAGCGTTAAAGCTGTGCGCGAAAAGGTTTTTTCTTACACTCCTATCCGATTGTCTGATTTTCAATTAACTACCTTACTCACAGAACACATAACACTCAATGTACAATAATGCACAGACATGCAGTGCTACGAAGCCGAAAAACGCAGGATCATCATTTTATTTATATTTGCGTCAAGCTGAACCTATAGGCAACCAGGCATACGCAACCCTCTTATTTCCACGTCATCCTCGATTATAATTTGATAAGGTATGGTGATTTTTACCCGTTTGTATCCATTACATATTGGCAAAAATCTGTATTTTATTGGGTTTATCAAAGAGATCTGAAAGTCATAAATATTTGAGGTCAAACTAGATTCGCCCAGGGGTGGGTCATGAAAGTCACGCGCCCCCCCCGCCCCTGGATCTGCGCTTGAAGTTCAGGTGGCATAGCTACGAATTTCGTACGGCGAAGTTCAAGTATATAGGTATATTATTTTCAGTTATCTATGCATCTCAAAATTTGCTAATAAGTAGGTAATTTACATGTTTCAAGTTTGGGAATTGGGATGCTTTGGACAGGAAGAGTACCGACGGTTTTATCATTTTAACGGAGATATAATGTTTACTAGTAGAGTAGTTAGTAAAGTATGGTATGTTTGACACATTTTGTATATGATTTTTCAAACTTGTAGATTATAGCCTCAAACATTCCAAACCTGTTTTAATAGTCAGTCGTGAAATATATAGAAAGAAATACTTCAGTTTGCCTCTTCAAAGCAGTAAAATGAGTTATTGGTGACCTTTCCAATATTATTTTAGAGATCGACTCCAGAATAATGAAATTTTTTCCACCACCAGAATAAAATGTTCAAGCTCTTTAAGGGGTAAACAATGTTTTTTGCTATTTCTTGAAACCCACCAATTCTTGAGGCCTAAAAAGATCCATAAAGGTTGTTCTGTTTTTACCTACCAAGTTGGGAATGTAGAACTAAGTGAATTCTGTAAGAAACTCACGTAAAAGTTTATATCCAAATCTCATTCACGCCCGTCAAAACAAACAACAGCGCCCGACGTTCAAATTTGCGCGCTTCTATTGGCCAGTAGGGGCAACATTACATTTCTAGGAATGTTTTGTTTCTGTAGGACACCTAAAATGCGAAACAGCCTACCTACAATAAGATTCCAAATTCTACTACTCTTCTAAATTATACAGACTACCTACAATAAGATTCCAAATTCTACTACTCTTCAAAATTATACAGACTACCTATAATAAGATTCAAAATTCTACTACTCTACTCTAAATTATTCAGTGAGCGTATAAGACAATACCAATAGACTCTGTATATGTTTCATAGCATCCGCGGCATCCCAGTATGAACGGAGCTGGCGTGTATTTAGCTGATTTAGCATTCTTAATGTTTTTATAATAATGACAAATTTTAGAGCGTATTTTCTTGACATATATCCACATAACATTGTTTCCAGGCGTCTCCCTTGACTCCAAACTCAGATGGTGCCATCTGGCTCCAAACATGGATCAAATCAATGAGTAAACAGCAAACCAAGAAGAAGCAAATGCCATTACAACCGAAACCAGGTATTGCCATAGGAGAAATTGATGCAAAATCCGTTATCCCTGAAGATGAAGATGACGAGAAAATGAAGAAACGTTGGGAAAATGTCAAGCGGGTTTTCAATGAAAAAGTGAAGACGACTACGTCGAAAGCAGATGCTTTGGATAATGTCGATTTGAGTTGATTGATGTATATCACGATTATGTAAATAAAAATAACATAAACCTAAGTAAGTCCCCTATTTCCAAAAACGGCTAAATCCATATTTACGAAAAATGCGGTGGGTGCTGCCATCTCATAGTCAAAAGTTGTGGTAATATACTATAATAGTTATTCGTTTCCAAATTACTAAAAAATCCATATAAATCAGCTCACTACTTTAGACTTATTTTCAAAACCGACTAAAGCTGTTGCGTGTTTCATCACAAAAAGTGGCTATATCCTTAGTTTTACCAAAACCGGCTAAATCCCATATGTTACACCAACTATGATGCTCTTGTTCCTGAACAAAACCGGCTAAATCCCGTCAACGTGTGTTAAATAAAATCACGATTCCTGAGAATGTGAAAGAAATAAGACTGGTATCAGATAGCTGCAGTGGGCAGGACCAAAATAGTATTGTTCTGTCTATGTGCGCTAAATGAATGTCAGAAGAAATAAAAATAAAAAACTTGATACAATAGTCAAGCCTCAAACGTGCTATAATATTTTGGAAAAAAGTCATCAAATCAACAGCCTCACTCCGTTTCCAGTTCAAGTCATGTAAGCGGCTGATATTGACTCGTTCAAAGAAATCTGCAAGTGTCTGGGTGAGGGGTGAACCAAATTTCCAGTCTGATGTGACTTATGCTAAAGGCATCAGTAAAAGGGGGAAGAAAATATTGCTCATGTCTCCAGAAAACGTTTGTATAAATAACGTGAAAATAAATCCTGAAAAACTAAAGCATGTTGATGAACTTTTGAAAAAACATTTTGGAACAGCATGGAAGCAAAAAAGTCAAGAATTCAAATTGGAATACTATAAGACTGTAATGGATAATCAACAAAGCTTAACATAAGCATAAGAAAATGCTGATGAGAATAGTGTGTGCTTTGCTAATACTGAGTGTAGTTTTGAAGCTGATATTGTATCATTGTTTTTATATTCGTTTCTAACAAAAAGGACTTATTATTTACTATTCAAGTTGAGTTTTAGGGTGGTGTATCCGAAACAGTTTATAACAAAAAATGTGTGATTTTATTTTTATTCCTTTTTTTTATATTAGTGATCTATGTAATGTTAATACATCAGGAAATAATTCACACGAATTTCGTTTCAATATCGGGTAAATCCTGAGTTGACATTCAAATTCGGGTACATCCATACCATACCGTCATATGAGCCAAAAATATATTTTATTTTGTGAAATTCCTTTACGATATTACTGATTCAAAAACTCACATATAGTAAGAGTTACTGTGTTTCGCCTTTTTCTTAATACTATCAATCTTGGGTTCAGCCACTTTTGGAAATAGGGGACTAAAGTATGATCTAATGAAATATACAATTGTTTTTCCAAGACAAGAGAATATAGATAACTGCTATACCCAAATATAAAACAAATTAAGAGACGATAGTGTACTGAGAGAACTCTATAGCTTAACATGGCTATAATATTATGCTCAGAACAAACCTGAGAGGAAAATGAGCCGAAGTAAATGAAAGTGAATTTAATTAGGCCAATGATAGAAATGGTAGGTTCATTGTAATAAAAAAGTACACACTTTTTTGACTACTTCAAATAACTCATTATATAGGGTGTTTTGAAAGCTGGGACTTTTTCAGAGACAACTACCACAAAGCAAACGTGCGTCAAAACAGCAGCAAAAACGGAAAAAATAGTAAAAGTAGGTACTTATTTGGTGATTAATTTGAAGTTTCGCAGTATCCCATGTTGCTCCTCAAAACTGTTCTCAGTCATCGCTTTTTTATTCAAAAAGACCCAAGTTTCCATCTGCAATATTCGGGGCAGTCTACTTTACCTGCTGAACGCACCTCGACGTTCCTACAAACGCCCTTTGTACGGCATAAACAAATCTACGCAACTCGGCACGGATACTTCAAAGAAAACGATCTGAATTCACTCGCGTATCAGCAGCATCTTGTATAAGACGCTCATCGTAAAGTAATATAAGTATCTTATAACTTCGTTGTTGCTATAGCGATTTGGTCTATTTCGCTTTTTCAAATCTGATTTATAAACAAACGCTCGTTTAACCTACAAACCGACCGCCGCTTAAACTGCCGCATTTTTAACACTGGGTGCATGGCCGGACTGACAAATTCTTCAGTTGGTGATCTTAAAGATTTAGTGAACTCTATTCCGACTCCACTCCATCGCCATAATAATCACGTGGCAAGAGCCCTGCTCTAAAATCAGGCGAGATTTCAAAAGAAGTGTCCGAGTAACCTCACTCTAGTCGTAAGCTGAGGGGCACCTGCATAGCTTAAGACGGCCCTGTACAATAATCATAAAACGACCCAACGGCAAGTAACAATGGAACTAAAATGTAGAAGTAACCAAAACAACTGTATAGGCAACCAGTATTGCTGGGTTAGTGTTGCTAAGTTGCGGAATGGGAAAATTCATGTAAAATATGCTATTTTCAGTCATCAGCTGATTTTCAGAATCTTACTTAAACATCACACTTTCAGATATATTAATTTTCACAGTATTTATCATTTATTCAGTATTTCATTTTATACCTTTTTTAACTTCCAATAACAACGTTAGAGATGGGAATTTCTCCGAAATCCCGCTCAGACAATTCTAAGTAAAATTCCTGATCCTCCCCAAAATACCTGCCTAATAAAAACCACCTTATAACCGTCTTAGCATTCGCTATGCACCAATAAGTTCTATCTCACTTCTTTATTCCATAATCAAATCTATCGGTCTCTTTACCCACGTGTTCGGCCTTCTACTTCATTCAGCGTCAACTGATACGCTATTTCAGACAGTTACTGGCAAATCATTCCAAGTTTACTGCGAAAAGATGACCCTTCAATGAAATTCAATAAAAAATATTGGTTGAGATATTTGAATAGTTGTTTATGCGTACTAAATATATTAAGAATTATATAGGGAAAGTTACTTTTTTCGAGACAACAGTGGAATGTGCGCACTTATCAAGCAATTGGAATGAATTATAGAGGACATTCAGAAAATGTTCAATATGGCGAGATCTGTTATTCAGTTGTTCCGAGGTGTTGTGTCAATGTGAAGTGAGTCAGGATTTACAAAAGTGTTGTTTTTTTTACGTGAAAACCGGGAGACTGCATGATAAAAGGTGAGAAACTGATTTTCTTGTTGTCTTTGTCTCATTATTTACCATTTACTTGCATGTATTGCTTAATTTAATAAAAAGCTCATTAAAAAAATCAATTTTATTAGGTTATATTGCAAAAGATTAACGGACTATTCATTTTTTAAATTGAATTTACTCTTGAAAGGTAATATTGAACATTGTCTTTTTATTACTTCATTCAGTATTTAACCGCTAAATCCCATGAAACGTTGGAGAAACAATTTGAAATACCGTTAAGCAATCGTCTAGTTTCTTGTTTAAATATTATAATTACGGGTTCCTACCTTTATCCTTTATCAATCAACAAACGTTTAATTTCCTGTGTGTTGCCAGGACTCCCCTCTGGTTAAAGAAGAAGGACCCTTCTACTCCACGTTTTTCATTGTTTATGTTGTAAAATCGATATTACTAGCAATTAAGGGGCCCTACCTTAAAGTTGCATGTTTTTTCGAATCTAGCTGTTATAATGCATGCATATTAGTAGGCTTTGAAATTCGGGGAATATTCATTTAGTTCAGTGAAATTATATGGTAGGAAAATGCATTAATCTTTCTGATAGGGCTTCTGAATAGAATAAGGTTGTTGTAGCTTCTTTGTTTGCTAATTTTCGAGATTTTTCATTAATTTTTATATTTTCCCTAATACTTCTGCATCCTTCAAGTTTTGAACTGATTGTGGAACTGGGAACTATTAAATATATAAACTACCAAATTCTTACTTTGTTTTTCTTCTCAAACCATCTGGTAGCATTTAAAAAAATATTTAGGCTTCCTTCTTGGCTACAACTGCATTAATTTATATATATTATAATTTAGAAAATAAAGATATCCTCACCTGACTTCAGTTTGCTCACTTTATTGCCGATTCTTTTTTAAATTCATTGTCATTTTTTAATCTATGTTCTGATTAAAGTTAGCTTAGCTGTTCTTTCTGAACTCTGGAAGTGAGTCGCACTGATTTCACAGCCTCATCTATGTTTGGACTGGCTCACTTCACTTAAAAAAAGAATGCAGCTAGTGTTTTGGCACTCATTTTTTTCGTGGCTAGGTACTTGTATGAAATGGACAATGGCAGAGTTCAGCCATCATAAAGTGGTTCAGCTGTGCAGCATTTTCATATTGAATAGCAATAGATAAGGGATAGCTTTGTCAGGTTGACAGTTTTCTTTGGACTGTCAGATTTGACAGTTTGTTGACTGAATGTTACAAACTGCCAAAGCTATACTTACCACAAGTACTACACTTTATGTTGGCTGAATGCCTCCATTGACATGAAGTGCTTTAAGTTGTGTGTCTATACATAGTTTGAATCTCATACTACATACAGTTCTTAAATTTGGTTTCGTTTTATAAGCACATTCATTGATTATAATTGAAATTACAGTAAACATTTGATCAAATATTTAGCAAGGGTTAACTCATAGGTTGCCTTGAAAAAATTATTCTGGAAGTATATCAGTCTCAGTCAGTTATTCCTCTGAACACCGGCACCGTGGAAGCGCGGTCAGAGCATAGAAAACACCAGGCTGTTGCGCCGCAAAAATGTGAGGCCATACCACAACACTCATTAGGTCGGCGTACGATGCCAGCAACAGCTGCGACTGATAGATACGCGATCCGTCTCCCGAAAATATTTTTTTCAGGGTTCATAGAAATGTATGCGTGAAATATGTCTAATAGGTGCGTAGATTTAGTTAGTTTAGTTTAGATAAACCCTTCCCACTACCTTACAACCCGAACCCCCGCTCTGCGGCCGCTGGACCGATTTTCATTGCCATAGTAGTAACATTTTGTAAAAATGTCATCGAAATCTGAGCGGTACTTCTCAGGCTATAGGCGGTTACAAGATTAGGGGACAGTCAGATAAACAGAATTACCGAAAAAAAAACATACATCATTTTCATTACTTCAACGTTAGTAGGCCTACAAAGAAAAAGGATTCTGCAAGTTCAGAAGACAAATCTCATTTCCTGCAATGTAGTTCAATAAAAACCTTAACTGTTAATTTTAATTAAGTCTATTACAAGGTGCCTGATAAAATCATTTTTTTATAGAACAATGAGTGATAATTGTGCATTAGATATGAGCACAACTACATTTCAGTATTCTTTAATAACACTATGTACACTAATGGACTTGATTACTAGCCAAGCCTTTGCATAAAGTGGTTTTAGGGGTTGACACATTACAGTCTCGGGGAGAATATCACAGGGCTTCAATGACAGAGGGATAGTTAAACTTGGAGGGCCCCTAAGATACCTAGTAGGGATAGTAGAAGTGGTGAGGAGGCGAAGCCTGGCAACTGGGCCACCTTTGACCCTTTTTGCCGACCCCGAAGTACCAACACTGTACTACTCCACAAACCATCTACTGTTAACTTATTGAATATATCAGCTCCAACTAAGGGTTGCACCACCTATTTTTATTAACAGATCTATTGCGTGATATACGAACACACAACACAACATTCGGGGCTCGGACCTAATTTCCTAGGCGGAGATTCGAACCCGCGAGCCTCGGGTCGAAGCGATACCTACCGAGGAACAGAAAATGTTATAATATATAAATATTTTATACTGGGATTCCTCATGCTGTAGGGAACTGCAGATCTGCATACTTTTCTGTTATACCATAGCCCTCAGGGCATTATGGGAACAATATAGGGATATGTATTTTGCACTGACGATACCACAAAGTTGCCAGAGGTAACCATTGATGAGCAAAAAATACGAAACTTCATAGCATGTGATAGTATCTTCTAAGCCTAGAAATCATGACCTTTGGACACATCCTTGCTTCACCCTGGGCCAACTACACATTTGCTGAAATTATTAAAACGACATTGTATCTACATAGATCCGACTATATCCTTTACAGAAGTTACATAGATAGGAGAATAAATCAGATCCGGCCTCTATTTACGATGCTTTTATCCAATATTGAATCTCTGGATTCGTTCCATATTAAATAGGCAATGCAACATATTGTAAGGAATGCCAGTTGAAAAAAGTCCAAGATTCTGCTTACCATGTGAAATGATATATTTAGCAACATTTATCATAACAGGATTGTTAAGATAAAAATCATGCCGAAAAATCATACTAACATAAATTACCATGTATCAATAATTTTATCAACAGCGGATATGAGTATCGTCAATAAAAAAATAATAACATGATCCATAGGAAGACAAGCTAGACATTTTATTATCTAGATTTATTAGGTGAGAGTTATATTTACTATTGGGATAATTCCTCATGATGTTTACTACATAACCAATGCCTTTTTCAATGCCTGAGTTAATCCTTGTAATGATTTATTTTGTGAAATCATACTGATGAGGCCTCCTCTAGCAGGATTGTAATTTAAAGCCTATTAGGCATAGGCCTCCAGAAATTGAATAATAGATAATTTGAAGCCGGCGCCTGTCTCAAATACGGATTATATGTATATTATTGTTATCTTGGTGTTTTCGGCTCTGGGCTTCCAGAAGTCATATAATGGAATTAAGTCTACCAGTCTTGACTTATTTCAGCCAGTCTGTCGGTAATAAGCTCGAGGCACAAATTTTAGTTTTATGTTTGTTGGATATTTTGCCTATATTCGAAAAGAGGTCATTAAGAGGTATCCAGAATTACTTGTATTAACTGATTTGAAAAGCTTCTGGACTTGCAT